GCTAGGAATAAATGCCTTCCTAACAACAATAACAGAAACCTAGATTAGTGCTCATATCCTAATCACGACAATAAAAAATATTTCCAGAAAAACCCCAAGAGCGTTGGAGCCACCTACTCTCATTAGATGGAACCAAGCCCCTATATGAATTCACTCGTGCACAAATAGAGAAAATAATATCTCGAATAACAGCAGACTCATGTTTAGGAGCCTCCCCATAGGTCATAGCATTGCACTCATGCCAAATAGTATAAATCAAAGCTGCAAACATCAACCGAATAACGATGGAAGACAATGACTTCCCACGAAATTGTTCCATCCAAGAAAGAGTATCTGGCCAACGCCATTGAACCCAAGGCAAGTTACATTTCGCATGCAAAGTATTCCAAACACACTCAGAAAATGGGTAAGCAAAGAAAAGATGATCCAAATCCTCCACTGAACAATCACACAGCACACAATGCATAGACTGTACCAAACCAAAGCGAAGAAGCTTTGTCTGTGTATAGATGCCACCGTGAATAGATAGCCAAAGGATGAATGCATGACGTGGAATACATCTAGGGAACCAAACAATATGATACCAAGCTACCCTAGGGCAGCGAAGTCAAAGAGACTTCCAAGCACTCCGAACAGAGAACACTCCCTATGCATCAACCTCCCATCGCAATACATCTTCTCTATTACTATTCGGCCGAAAAGTAGCAAGTGTATCTCGCATTAAATCAGATAAAGCTAGGGAATGAACTGGTGGCCATCTCCAAGTATCACCCTCAACAATAACAGCCACCTTAGCTAGTTTACTCAATTTGGATTCACAAATTATCCTCTCTCCAAGAATCTTCTCTAAAGGGCAAAGAGGATGCCAATTATCATACCAAAGGCATGTCTACCATTACCAATTCTGAATTTCATTTTGTCCCTTCCTATATCCCGAAGTCTAAGAATCTTCCTCCAACTCCAAGAGCAATTCCCAGGACACTTCAATTCCCAAATGCTCCGTCCTTTAAGTAAATAACAACGTGCCCATGA